TTTTCAAAAGCCAATTCTCAGCATAACGCTCTCCATTCAATTGATTCTGTGTAATAGGAAGTGTCAAAAGCCAGGCTTTTAAGTTGCAATTCACCCTGGCAACTAGAATGGCAGTACATAATCAGAACACCTACAAAGATGTCTTACACATGCAAGCACACACACACACACACACACACACACACACTTTTAAAAACAGTGTTAAAATGTATTTGTTGGAATAATGAAAGGAAGGGATTAGAAAGCCTTAAAGACTTGTGTCTTTAGTACACTCACCCTGTGGCCATGTGGCTGACACTTTTTTAGGGCATGACACAGTCTAACTGAGTATCTTTTCTTTCCACAGCCATGGACAGAGCAAAGTCCACCGATGATGAGCCCCTTCTCAGAGGCAAAAAAAGGCAGAATCTCCAAGAGATGCTGAGAGAAGTAGGACTGGCAGTTGAGTACTGGTTGCCCAAGCTGCAGGGACATCTGGGTGTGACCTGTGTCCAGGCCTTACAACACCTAGAAGACAAAGACCTCCAGCAGCTGAAATCCCAGGCACAGTATCCCTGGGAGAAAAGGGCCCTGGAGAAGCTGCTTCACCTGTCACACTCAAATAGTCTTTCAGAGTTCCAGGAATCTCAGGTGGAAATGATAAAGAAACAGCAAAAGAAGGCAGAGCAGGTGCTGCAGGAGCTAAAAAATTTGCTGTCAGAAGGCAGACAACAACAAGAAGCCGCAGTGAGGAAAAAAGAGGCAGAGCTGAGGCAGGTGATGGAAATCCCCGAAGAGTGCTGGCCACCCCCTGAAAAGTACCTACGAGAGGTCATGGAAAACATGCAGAGACAACTCAACCTCATGGAGGGGACACTATCCAACAGGCAAAACCTCCCAGATAGAGATCTGGTGAGATGGGCATCTGGAGGACTGGCCCTGCAGGGAATTTACAAAACCAGATACCAAAGGGACCTTATAGAGAAGAGGCAGGAGCTACTCAGTGTCCCTAAGGAGTTCTCACTCTATGGCCCTGCGCAGGGCACACGAATGGAAACAAAGGAATTTACATCTTCTCAAGCAGAAGCTGTGTTTACCCAGGCAGTAGAGAAGCTGCGCTTCAGTGTAACTGCTTCAGCCAAGGGTGGAGGTGGGGGAGTTAGCTTAGAAACTGGTACGGATCACAGCAAACATTCAGAATCCAAGGAAACTCATCTCTCACATTCTGAGCACTCGTATTTCTGCTCTACCAAGTTCAGCTATGTCCCACTCGCCTCCTTTCACTTTCCCATTGATCAGCTCCAGTTCTCCAAGGCTGCTCTCCGGGAATTGAAATGCATTGAATACCTTCTGGATCAGCCTGCAGACCCAGAAAGAGCCCTCTTGCTAAAGCACAGAACTCAAGCTTTCTTCCACAGGTTTGGCTCTCATGCTAACCAGGGCCCTCTGCACCTGGGAGGAATCTACTGGTGGAAAGCCATTTCAGAGGGTTTCCCAAGTGAGCAGCTGGCAGAGGTGAAACAGCAGTCAGCAGAGTCCCTGAATAGTTACATAAG